TAGACCAAGATTAACTTCATATGCTTAATCTAGCGTGCGCATTGAGTGGTAAGGGAGACGTACTATTGAGACTCTTGTCGATATCGATCTAATTTCTCGCGTCGTTTAACTTGCGAATAATTTCTGATCGATAAGAGAATAAAGAAAAAATAAAATATAAAGTTGAAAATTTGCATTTTGAGCTACTTGATGTATCACACGATAAAAATGTCCCCGCAATATCGGTTCTCTGTGTTCTATTTTAGGCAAGTGTTTAATTTTAAAGTTTGCATGTAAGAAAGACTATTCTTTGCGTATATATATACATATATATATACGATGCACGAGTTATTGTGAGTAATAATTCGCGCTTTTCCAAAAGAGCCCTTTCAAGAAGATCGCGCCGTCTCCTCACAATGTAATTTGCACACAACCGCGCGTCACCGTGCACGTACGAAACACCTTCACTCGGACCAATTTCTATAGTGCATATAACACCACAGTGAAAGCCGCTGGCCTTTTGTTTTCGTCGATTAAGAACGCCCACTGCTATTTAAACCACCACAATGTGCGCAGCTACATCATATATGTTTCGCCGCCAGTCTGAACGTTCGCGATATCTTGTAATATCTCATAAATTTATATACTCGTCGTGTCAGTCGGTCTCTGACGAAACGTGACAGACTTCCCCCGCTTTCGTAAAAGCAAATTTAATTCTAATAAACCGTATTTCAAACGAGATGTATTTTTAAATCCCATACACCTCGCGCCAATTTTATTTTAAATACGATGGAAGACATGATTGCAAAGCGGATATTGTATGATATAAGGTATATTATTATATCTCGCGAGGAGTACAATGAAATTTCGTTCTGCGAGTATTTTGCGTTTATGATAAACCTGTGTGATGCCGGGAAAAAAAGTAGCCATTCTTAGGGAATTAATTGAATTCCACGTCGGAAATGTTCGAGAAATGATCTCTTTGAAGAGCACGGCGCCCCGTACTTTGATCAATAAAACGCGCTTTGTGTAAACGAGCCGTTAAAGACGTTTCCCATTCCTCTCGCTGAATAAAGAAGGCAACAGGTTTGACTCTCCACATCTTTACCATTGATGCCAACCTTCGGACCCTTTCTTGACGTGACATTTTCGCGACGTAACGTCCATTGTCGATCGCAGAACGGTAGAAGTAAAGTCTTCTTAGAATGCGCGCAAGAACGCAATTTAATTTTGCGATGAATGCTTGTCAAAAAAACAATTTGCACCAGCTTTTTTAATGACGGCAATTTAATTTATAATTATGAATACCGAGCCACGACAAAGCTATATATAATTATACACAGGCTAAATAAAAAAATATAGATTTAAATTCCTAAAAATTAATATGCATGATTAAACGAGCGCAATCTGTTTCGACGACATTATAATGACAGCATATAAGCGGCAGAATACACTTACTATGTGCATTTACTTTTGAGTTTTATACCACTCGAATAAAAACCCAAACAGCAAAGTGACGTCAAATGATGTATTAATAATGTCTTAAGGACGTTTCTAACGTCAATAATATGTCATTAAGACGTCTTTAAGATAACATATACTCCCTGATATCTGGAAGTATATGTCATTTAAGATAGACTTTGATGCCAGATAAACGAAACATAGATTTCTAAAGGATACCAAAGGAAACCGTGATGAAAAACATATCTGCTAAGGAGGATAAATAGAGGCAAGATACCACTTTTAGAAATGAAAATGAAAAGGAGTAATTTGGCGAGCGGCTTACGAAGTTGTTCTCTACGATGGTTTCTAGTTTCTGCTGAGCAGAGATTCCGCTCCCTAGACAAATTTACAGTGTGATATTAAGAAAGTTCAGTCATACAAGACTGGCTCGACAGCCGAATCTCGGTCTTGCGGCTCGCCGTTCTGTTTGGCAAAGTATATTATGCGAACAGTCTGTCGCGGAGGTAAACAAAATAATGTGTCCCTACTCTGTACATTCGGCCAAATTATTAATCCACGGAATTCTTCGCTCAGCTTACAGAATACTCTAAAAATCAATGAATTTAATTTCGAGATCTTAAAATCACAATAGTTAATTACAAAAAAGATTTAATGTAAAACGCAGCGAGGATGCCTTTAAAATCGCTTAATTCCAATTTTATCGAGGAATCGAACCGTAATTTCTTCGTTAAGTCGGAACTAAATTCTGATATCAAGACTTAGACATTTATTGAAATCGACAGTAAATATTTCCTTTGATCGTTGACCCACTTCTGGTCGGGAGGACATTTTTCAATTCCAAGGGGCTTTCGGTTCTCCCTCGGTCTACGCATCGTTAAAAGTGCGTGATTGAAGAAGAATTACAAGCACACCCATTTTTTCTCTCTGTATGCGTAAAACTGCTAGAGTCTGTTTGCTCGCGCATAATCTGCCGTAATTAGAATACAAGTAGTAGCCAAGTATAGCTAACAAAGGATCGAGGAACTAATAAAAAGATTTATCAGATATTCTGACAAGATACAATCTGTCGCAAAGTTGTTCGCATATTACATTAAATTGTATATTTCCATTATTATCAAAAAAAGTAAAATATCGTAAAAGGAAGAGACAAAGGATACTTTGTATTTCAAGGTGTTTCTTAAATAGCTTGTGTAATTAACAGAGATATTTTATATCAATATAAAATTCTTTGTTAATTAAAAAAACGTAATTTACTTGACCTTTTAAGTATTACTAAAAATACTACTGCACACACGGACAATTTTAAAACCGCAAACTAATGCAACACGAATTGAATGTATTGAAAAAAAAGCTCTCTGCGAAAAAGCGTCTTTGTTTTCGAAATGGCTTTAGCGCTTTAAAACCAATTACGAGGGATCGTAATAAGCGAGGTCCGTTTCGTAACCGCGATCGATGGATCCGTTAATTTTTAGAGTTTTTAATTATACGCCGACGTATGTTCGAAGGTATAATCCGTTCGAACAACCGATTCTCTTTGTCGGATTTGTCAAGCTCTTTAAAAGCATCAACGGCAGGATAGTCGTGCTGAATGCCAGCTTATTACATCCCGAGGATGGATCCTTGAATTTTCTATACTCGAACGGGAACATTCCCGACAAGTCGTGTCTCACGAATTGTCTAAAAGTGCAAGCACTAGCCCGAAAAACTGGAATTTCGCATTATTCGAGATTCGTGTACGATTTCTACCCGATATTTTGAATGCACAAAGAGAAATGGGCGTGTACGCTCTCCCTTGTGCATCTTCCTTTCGACTATCGTCCGCTGTAGATGATGTACGCGCTTGTCTCTCGCCACCGCACCGGGTAGGTTCCTAAACTTTGCACGCGAAAAACGACGGGTATAACTATACAGCTGATTGCGTAAAAATCTGACAAGATATGAGGTAACGTTAAAACGCGAAAGGCAAAGGAGATGGAAAATGTTTTCTAAAACCGCCGTACGCTCCTTATGCAAAAGGACCGCTATCCATTACGTCTTTTTTTATCTTAACGGGCTCTACAGCTCACGTCCTGTGAAACTGAGGGGTAAGAAATTTTATCTGCATTCCGGAATCATGTAAGTAACATGGGGTAACATTGACATTTTTTTATACGAGCTCCGTAATCTCATAATATTAAGCGACAGAGGATTTTATCTGCGTTCCAGTCAAACGAGCACGTATGCAAATCGAACGTTCAATATTTTTCTTGTAACATATCTTAACATTCTTTCCGTGATAATTTTTTCTTACCGAGAAAGACACAATCTCGACGTATTTCAAATCTTGCGTCATATCGCGAATGTCTTTCGTCGCTCGCGCGAATTTTCGTCGCGAGGATGTAATTAATCGTTACGGAATTTCTCACAACAACTTGGATACAAACCGCAATAAAGCGACGTGAGTTTGCAATTTTGCAAGTGCATACTCCAAGTGCCTGCCGAACATTCCTTTATCCGCAAGTACGTAGTAAACACGTTATTCGCTTGAAGCAATCGCTGGATCATCTCATCAAAGTCGGCCGAAAGGTCAGTTCAACGATAGAAGATGAATGAAATGCGCATTGACTAAATTATTTTTTTTCCGATTTAATTGAAAAAAAAAAACCAAACACATTGTATACCATGCACGTTCCTCCAAAAAATTAACACGAATAAAATATACGTAACATATAGAAACTCAAAATATCCTTTATCAAACATGAATCTAAAATGTTTTATTTACTAAAAATCGAAATAGATAAAATAATGTTTATAATTAATTTTTATTTTAGATTCATGTTTGCACCTATGTATTATCGAACATGAATCTAAAATGTTTTACTCACTAAAAGTCGAAATAAATAAAATAATGTTTATAATTAATTTTATTTTTGAGGGAACAAGATTTCGACATAAGTTCTAAGGAGCTATACTAAAGAAAGCTGTTATAAAAATTTTTTTATGTGAATTCCGTTTTAACTGAAATTTAATTTAAGGATAGCGAGATAATGAACATTCTTTAAGTTATTCTTCGTGTCAAATGTCAAAAACTATCTTAGTTAAACATTCTTCTGAAGAAAATTCACTCAATATCAAAAAGCGCGTAGCTGAAGGAAAAAACAAGCTTATCCTTATCGTTAGATTGCATTTTTATGTGAATTCCGTTTTAACTAAAATTTAATTTAAGGATAGAGAGATAATGAACATTCTTTAAGTTATTCTTCGTGTCAAACGTCAAAAACTATCTTAGTTAAACTTTCTTCTGAAGAAAATTCACTCAATATCAAGAAGCGCGTAGCTAAAGGAAAAAACGACGAATCTAAGCTTATCCTTATCGTCAGATTGCACGGCAATTTCAAATATTCTCAATCGATACTTCGACAGAACTCTCTAATGTATAAAAATTATTTTATATCGCCTATTTGACCGTTTATTTAAATAAAATAAAGAACAGTTCCGGATTTTCAAGTCCGGCATTACAAAAGCGAACGTATTCGCGTCGCGGGGGAAGACTGACAATTTCGCGAGGGACCACTCACCGCGGGCTGGCGAATCTCGTTGACAATGGAGATGTAGAGGAACAGGCTGACGAGGTAATTTCTGGTGAATCCCATCATCTTCTCGTTGGTGTGACGATCAGCTTGTCCTTCGCGACGCGGGCTTCCAAATGTGAGTATCGCTCTTCAGAACGTGTTGCCTCTTATATAGGGTGCAACTCCAGCCGGCGCAGGCGTTCACCATCCCCGAGCGTTCTCCTCGCCCCATAACGCGCCCCCACATACGACGTACGCGGGGGTGCGGTTTGGCGGAGCGCTATTAGCGCATCATTCTATCTTTATCGCTCATCAGATATGTAAAACAAGGAACGCATCCGCGACGTACGCCGTATAGTTGACCCTTTTCTACCTTTTTTTTCTTCTTTTCCCTCGTGGCCCCTAACAAAACGTGACATCAATGAAACGGATATTCTGTACTCATCATCGTACGGAATATATCTATAATATACTAATAAGTGATCTTTACCAAATAATATACGTCGATTTTTTTTTTAGGGGGGGGGGTTAATTTGATTCATAAACTCAAGAGATGATAATTTACTCTAAAAAAGAAATAGCTAGATGTTGTTTAGACCACATATTATACAAGGTGTTCCATTATTATTAATAACATAAAAATATGATAATAAAATATCTCGCAAATAACGCATTTACAAAAAAAAAATTTTAAACTGCATTGTTTGCACGATATTTTATCATATCTTCTTCACATCTTACAACGTTAAAAATGGGACACCTGTGTAAGTGGTATAAATAATATTGAGCTATTTTTTTTAGAATAAATTATTATCTTTTGAGTTCCTGAATCAGATCCCAAAAGATGAGAAAAATCGGCGTGTGTCACTTGGTAAAAATTATTTATGAGAACAAACATCTCTGTAGAATAAGATTTCTTGTATATTCCAAAAATATACTTATCCCTACGCGATATCGTTGCGGTATATCGCGTATATTCTAAGAATATACTCCAAACTGAAGCTGTATAGAAAAAATATAGAGACTGAAGAATATAGAACCATAAGCTACTTATTATGCGTAACAACGGAACGCGCACAGATCCCAGAGGCGAAACATTTCATGGATTCTTCATAAAGAGGGAGGGGAAAAAAAGAGAGACACGGCAGAGCGAAAAGGTCGCAAGTTTTTTGCGGTTTATAACACGGCTTATGGCTGGTATTCATAGTCGGTTCTTATATTTAAGACCATCTTAAATACAATCTTAAGATATCATTAACCAATCACAGAGCCGTATTAGCATCTTAAGATATTATTTAAGACAGTCTTGAAATAAATTCTGATTATGAATACCGGGCCTATATCCGCGTTTTTATTGCGCATCGAGAATGAGTGTTTAACCACGGCGTTGTTCAATGTATTCAGAGTAGCATCGCGCTTTTTATTGGAAAAGTCACGATATACTTTAAATTCTTCTAAAAATGTACTGTAAGAAAGAAATAAAATAAAAAAAAAAAAACAGTATACTTGCCATTACTGTAAGGATAATAGTGCGATTAAGTCGAGATCAAGGACTGAAAGCGATCTCAAATTCAACCCTCGACAGCCGCGACGAAATAATCTCAAATAGAATCACATGTATAATTATATTATTGACGTAACGTCGGCAGCGTCAGAATTATACTGGTTTTTGCGGCTCTCAAACGCTACTTGATTTGACGTAATTTGATTATGTCTTTTCTCATATCAAGCTCGCGACTGTTAAGTAAAGTCAATTATTATTAATAGAGCGTAAGAAGATATTAGAAAATATTGCAATAATTTCAGCGAATCGGGGGCCACGTAATTTCGGGGCGACTGGCCTTTTCTGAAATAGCATCACCATTTATTGGTACTCTCGACTTTTCTCGTCGGATTTGATTCATCCCTCCTGTCTCCATAACGTATACCGGCTCAGCTTGAAAGACGCAATAAGAATACCTACCTTTTCCCGTTATTTATAGAATTAGCGATCTAAAAAGGTCGCTAATTCTATTTTTCTTTCGTATCTTTTTAGAACGCTAATTCTATAAATAACGGAAGAAGGTAGATATTCCAAAAAGATCGCTAATTCAATAAATTCCGTTTAAAATCGTCCATTTTCATTTGATCGTTTCCTAGAAGTTTATGTGACTCGGAATAAAAATAGTGTTCAATCATGTGACATTAATTAACGTCTCGTTAGTGTCACGTAATTACAGAAGGAAAAAACAGATCGCAATATTAGAGAGAAAAGAAATATTCGGTTTCCTAGGGATGACGTCAGAGCTATTATAGTCACAAGTCAACTTTTAATAAACTTTTTTTTACATATTACTTATTCTCTTTCTCTCTCCTTCTCCGGATAATTCATTATATGTTTAATATTTTATATATAATAATACGAATAATGGTAACACTTTTTTTCCGATATTATCCCGCGATATCGGGCGGAAACTAATTAGCCAATCTACATATAAAAATTTGGACGAACTATTTCTGTACTTGTATATAATTAGAATATTCATCGATGTACGACCTTTAAGCGAAAATATATTGCTTTTAAGAATTCGCTCGAGGGGAAAAACGGTATAAAAAATAAAATACGAATGGAAATTCTCATTACAAGCTGTCGTTCGTGGTGGGCCAAGGGACTTGCAATAAGAACCGAGATATCACATATAGTCTTATGACGTCCGTGGGATCGTATTTTGATACGAAGCCTTTCGGGAATCTAGAATTTCCGCTGTAATTGACCGTATATTTGTCACCGCGAATACCGCGAGATCGATACTCCGAATGCGAAATAAACAAGAAGCAAATAAACTCGATCGTCCTCTCCAATGTTGAAGTGCGAGAAAATCGCACAATTTAAAAGATTACAGTAATTATCGTTGATATATATGTGTCCCAATTTTGTTGTGCATGGCAGAGAATTACGTTTTATGTTTTACATAAAATTGCTGCGGTCATGTAATTAGAATCAGAAAATTCATATATATAACTGTTATAGAACACTTTAAAAATCGTAAATTGTGTTATTTATCATATTTTGTAAAACTTTTTCTTGCATTTTTATCCAAAATATAAAGACTTACGCGTAAAATAAACAATCGAGGAAAACCTTTTCCGATTTAATTTGTATAAAATATCATTTTATTATCATTATTATTATTATAGATCATTTACACTCTATACGCATAAATTTTCTGTAATCGTCATAGTCAAGAAGATCGAAATGTTACAGGATACATTCATTATCGTTCATTATATCAATTTGTCTGTACGATTATATAACTATTAGAATAATTAGAGCTGCGCTGTATTTCAATCACAGACGTAGCTACAACTACAAGATACTACAAGATATACCTCGAGATAATTAATCAACATATTTCACTTTAATGTTCCTGCATGATCACCGATAAACTTCTTCGATGTCTGCCAGTTTTTTTTTACTTAGATTTACTAGGTTTTTGGATTGTATCGTACAAGTAGACGTATGCGTACAGATGTAATCAGGTATAATAAGAACGATGCACAAAAAGGCGTATTAATCATTGAATATATTGATCGTTCATCAATGTGAATGATATACATACATGTTTATTTACAATGTTATATACTTACACTTAAGTTTTGCTAAAGTTAATAAACATATACTTACACTTAAAAATTGATTAACTGGTCGTCGCCTAGCCATTAAAGTATCTGAATCTGAGTAAGCGTGTTGAACTTGGCCTCCCGGAAAGATATTATCTCATGGAATTATTACGTTGTGAAGATCTTTTTCTTTGCGATTAAATTTGTTCATCTTGTTGATAATTGCATGCTGAAGGCATAAATCACATCAATCAAGTATAATCTAATATAAATTACCTTAATTAATGTAGCAACGACGAGATACATTAAATAAGTTCCTGTAGAAGATATTATGTAGAGGGTGTCCCTTTCATAATAAAAACTAATAAAAAAAATTTTTTATTAATCACGAAATTTACTCCTTTGAAACAAATAATTTTTCTCCTCGACATGTCATAAAAAAAAAAACAAAGGATATTGGGTAAACTAATTAGAAAAAGGATACCCTGTATAAATTTTATGTCACACGCATTTCATAACTCAGACGCAAATTTATTGTCTAAAAAATAAATAATTATTGATAATTGCGCATTTGATCTTATAGAATACTCGTAAGAATGGCAATCATTACATTTATTTAGGAACAATGCGGTACCATACGTCGTTTAAAATAATGGCTTCGATTGTAGTGAATTAATCGATAAAAATGTTCAGAAAAACGGATTTATCAATTTTCACTAGTTGAAAAAATGTAACGCTATTATTATACTGATGTGACTGTAGAACTATGGAACAAAAACTTAAAAAATGCAGAAGTTCCGAAATCCTGTTTCTTTTTACATCCACTTCTGTATACTTTAAACAGATCTACCTTTTGCTTTCCTTATCTAACTAAAAAATAACACGAAGAAAAATCTTTCTTTAATTTGCAAATATATATACAAGTTGTACTGCGGTATGGCGCAATCTATTAAAAAAATAACTCGCATTACTAATGGGGAGAGATCTTGTGCTCACCGCCAGCTTGTTTCGTATATATAACATTACTAATGCATGATTTAAAATTCTGAAAAGATATATCTTTGAAATGATGTATCTAATTCAATATATTTCAAAGACATGCCACTTGAATCAGCCGTTTCTTTTTTAAAGGGTGTCACTTATGCATGAGAGATGCAATCTGAAAGAGTAAAAAATAAAATCAAACAACGGTCAATATAAACAATATAAAGATATATAAGAGGTATATATCCAAAAAGGCACAAGATAATAATTTGCACTAAATAAAAGAAATAAGTAAACAATCATAAGATTGTTCAATATTTTTAAGAGTGTACAAAATATAATTTTATTGAATATTAATAATATATTAATAATGAATTAATATTAAGTAAGCATTTTGTATTCAAGGAAAGTAAAGTTCCCCTGGCTTATGAAATTTACATAATTTTTGTATCATTTTTACTATTCTATAGAAGAAAATCAGTTTTGCTTAATGGGCATAAAGTGTTTTCCCTTCTCCTCCCTCATGAGAATTACATGTAATAAGAAAGAACTTGGTAGTGCAAGGAATTAATGGAACCTCTAATGCACATATGTTACAATTACGACACAGATATGTCGTGTTGAACATGAATAATAAAATCGATGTGTGTGTGTGTGTGTGTGTGTGTGTGTGTGTGTGGTGTGTGCGTGTAGAGAGAGAGAGAGAGAGAGAGAGAGAGAGAGAGAGAGAGAGAGGGGGAGGGGGGGGGAGAGAGAGAGAGAGAGAGAGAGAGAGAGAGAGAATACTTGCAGGTAAATTCAATTAAACTACCAATGGTAACAAAATACAAAAAAGAAATAATGAAAAAGCTATTAGATGGTTTACGCAATGCAAATGAAAATAGTTAAACTCAAATGACGAGTGTTAAAGAAATGAAATAGGCAGAGACATATAAAAAGCAGTTACTAGATAAGACGCATCAATACTACAAACATCAGTCATATTATTTGATACTGACACTGAAACTAAAATATCTGTCAATTCCGATTTATTTATTCTCGTTTTTGAAAAAGTTTCTTAAAGTCCTCAGAGTCCTTCACGTCGTTAAGCTTGCTCATCATAGCCTCGTGGTACGCGTTTAGCAGTTCTCGTGCGTCCAGTTTAGAGGATACGCCCTTAAAAATATTGAGCAAGCTCTCTTTGGGTACATCATTTTTTTCGATATGCGCGACCATGAATTGGGGCGTCCATAGTTTCTTTAACACACGCCTAGCCATAACGGGGGACTGTTTTAAAGCTTGCGCTATATCTCCCGAACTGTTATTCTGCAAAGCAATGTTCAGGACTACCGACGCCGGAATAAGCTCTTCGTTCGCAACAGTATGACTAATGATCACGTCCATCGGCAACCTTTGTAACATAGCGTTCAAGCTTGTTGACAGTTCCGGCATAGATTGCTTGATACCTTCTTGTTCTTCCTGTTTCAGCTTCTCCGACAGTATTTCAATGATTTCTGACGATGTGCATTTTTTACAGATCGCACTTTTCAATTGACTAAAGTCTAAGCTGTTCAAACCGTCGGCTATGTTAAGCTTCTTGCAATATAACTTGAGCACCTTATCAAAGAATTGTTTATCGTGGCTAAAAATGTCAGGCAATCTAAGGAGGACTTTGTTGAGACCGCACGCGCGGCAGGCTGCTTTCAACGATGCATCGTTGACTTGTTGTTTGTCCTGCAAGCCGAGCATTTTGATCGTTTCCTTCAGCAATTCTCCCTCCTTCAAATGTGCCATCTTTACCTGAAAGTTAATCTTTCGCTCATTTATCTAATAAACAATCAGTATATATAATCGGTATGTAATAAACAAAATTTTTACCTTATATTGCAGAAGGATTGCCTCGGGATTGCATCTTCTAACTGCGCTTTCCATAACCTGATTTACGTCAATTTCATCCAGTAATTCTGCAAGCGACATTTGAGACGCAACAGATTTCGTTGACGTTTCAACAGTCGGGATCGTGGAACTGATTTCGTTGGTATTCGTACCAATGGAGGAGTGTGTGATTAGAAGTTCGTCATACGCACTTGAAGATCTGGCAGGATTTTTTGCTGCGTCCAGGCTGCCACTTAAAGATGAAAACAGTTATTTTGTTTATATTTGATATTTAAAATTATTTACTGTAATAAAATGCAAATATCTTATTTATAAAATAAGAATGTGAAAGATTACGTACATGCTTTCAGAGGACGATGAAGGGATTGGCACAGGTTCAGAATTATCTGTAGACGTTCCAGGTTTTGACATTTCAGCCGCAATCGGTATCTTCGCGCTTGTCTGTCCATCTCTTTTAGTAGTGTCTGAGACTGACAAATCAGGATTACCTGAAATCGTGGGTTCCAGTGAAATGTCCATGTCACTGGTGATCGATTGCGTTTTATCCGAGTCTTCTATAGGTGAGTTTCTTCTCGGTAGATCAGAGGTATTTCCGGTGAACCGGATAACTGGCGTGCTACAAGTTAAGGATTCACTGTCGATCCTCGCAGATCCCGTTTCGATGTCGGATATAGTGGCGATTGATACAGTCGGCGTTTCGTCCGCCGTCTTAGTAGGCAATTGTTCCACTTCATTTGACTTCTTGTCGGAGAGCTCCGTTTGTGGCATGTGTGTGCCTTCAAAAGACTCCAATACCTTTTTCACAAATTCAGTCTTTGGTTTACCTTTCACAGGCATTCTGTCAATTTCGCGTTCCGACAGCTGGGCAAGATCGCCGATTGTCTGCATATTTCTATTCGCGAAGTACATACTTAGACTATGCTTCCAAAGGGGATAAGTCAATCGTTCAACGATACTATTAATAGGTTCCACGCACGATGACAGTGTTGGATAGATAGGTTCCGTGGAATCCAGAAATGCAGGATCGAGTTCCGCGTTATTTCGAGCTTCCTGATTTTGAGTGTTTTGTGTCGTGGATAAACTGGCAAATACGGAGTCCGTTACCGGCAAGGTGTCTTGTTCAGCGATGTTTTCTGTCGTACGCGTACTGCTGCGTACTGGCCTTTCACAGAATATCTCGTCCGCATTCATGGAACTTAATCCGGTAACATTCTGGATGTCTACAGTGTCCTCCATACTCAAATTGTCGTCTTTGGTAGGTAAACCCGCTATCACAGAATCATCGGTCACGTTCAGTTTAATAGAATCTATCGAATTATTCTGGATCGTGTTATCGTTTTGTCTCGTCTGAATAACCGTGACATTAGTCTTTCCATCCATTCCGTCGAAGATGTCTTGCTGCGTTTCGGAAACGTCTTCCGTTTCGACGTCTGGCAAAGAATGGTCGTTAGAATCTTCACGGGATAAAATCTGTTGGTCTTCTGAGACAACTGGTTCCGTAGCTATCTCAATTTCCTGCGCTAATTCTAACTCGTCGATAACATCCATCCTCGTACAGGAATTCGTTTCAATGTTTTCATTATTACTATTTTCTAGAGAATCGCTAGGCATTTGCTCATCAATATCTTCTGCGTATGCCTCAAATATTTTTGTCAATGATTCATTCTTTTTCTCGATCTCCGTGGCAACTTCAGTGCCGCTTTCATTTTGAGTACTGTCCTCATTTATTAATTTCTCCGTATCAAATGGTATAAGTTTAAGTTTGGTTTGCTTGAACCTCGGCGAATCCTTCCTAGGTGTGAGACTGCGTGACCCCGAATATTTAATCACTTTTTGCGGGGATTCAGTGGAGATTTCATAGCTCATCTCTTTTGACACCGGTGGATCTGCAAAACTCACTCGCTTTCGCTGTAACAAACAACATCCCAACATATTTTATAAATCTGTGATTTAAGTAAAAAAAATACATTAAAATAAAATAACATGCTAAATAAAGATATAATATAGAATTTTTTAAAATGACAATTATCAAATTGCACTATCAAAAATAATCTTTAATTTAGCCTGTTTTTCTTTAACACTACGTATAAATTTATGATAAATATATTGCTAAAGTTAATAAACATAAACTAAAAAAAAAAAATTTATGATAATATAAATTGTACAGAAAATACCTTAGGAGTTAAATCTAGATCTGGTTCTGAGAAGCTCGACCGATGACGTTTAAGAATACTAGCACTCGGTGACGCGGTTAATGAAGGTGGATTAGCGCTTGACCATTCCAATATTGGTAGATCGTCCTTTTCACGCGGCGGTGATACACTCCTTTCATTTTCCTTGTCAACTGAACTCTCCGTTAATAAACAGTCCGATGCACCCTTGTTCAATTTAAACGAAAGCTTCTCGCCATCGTTTTTCAAAGTAGTAAACGTGTTTGACGATGAAGATGCGGAATAATCGGTCGATCTCATGTTGCTGAAAATCTTTTCTTGCCGACTGCCAGAAGGCCCACCTATTTTATCCATTTCTTTAACCATTAATGTCTTTTTACTCGTTGACATTTCATTTTCCGCGTCCTTTTTCGATTTCTTTAAGTCGTCAAATATCTTGAACGATTCTTCCTCCAGTACAATAGGCGGATTGTCCACGCTCAGTCGCGCTTGATTCGTGACTAAACCTAGCATATGAGCGGCACGTCCTGTGCCGAACGGTTTCGGCTTAGAAAATATCTTGCTACTGCTTCTTGGCGAAGAAAAGGTAATTACACTCGTAGATTTAATCGTTGATGAATTGTCGATTGTCCTCTGTTCTTCCGACATTAAACTCCTCACGTTAGAATTATCAGTTTTCTGAACCGAGTCTTTATCTATACTATCTATGTTTTCTTCGTTCTTTGTCTCTGTACTACTGTCAGGATTAGCTTCGTCTAATTCTTCACATGGATCAGGTACATTATTATCACCACAATCCATGGGGATAGATTCAGGTACATCAGGTACATGTTTTTTGTCAACAGTCGTATCAGAAGTTTTAACAGCCTGAACATTAGTCATTTTATTAATCATAATGAAGCACTGTTTCTCGTTGCATATTTTATCTAATTTTGAACCAACATTAGGAATTTGCGAACTTTCAACGACATCCTCGACCTCATCCTGACTCTGTTCGCTTAATGACTCAGTAAGTTTCGCAGGTTCTACATCTGAGTTAGATTTCAAATTATCTTTATCGGGCTCTTCATCTTGGGCTTTAAACCCAATTTCCTGTGCTGCTTGATTGGACATCGAAATTACATGTGTCACACCTGTGTCAGCATTTTTCAATTCAGCCTTATCAATAGCCTCATTGGATTTTTTAACATCTTTATCTCTATCTTTATTATCGTCTTTATTAACATCTTTATTAACGACCAAATTATTTTTATTGGACTCTTGTTTACTTGGTCTACCTCGTCTCCTAAGTGTTACTTGCTGTGTATCGTCTACATCTTTCACATTTTTTTCCTGCGTTCTTGGAGATCGCTTTGGTTCTTCCTGAGATTTTGCATCCACGGATTTCAATTTAAGGCTCCTATTATCAGGTGTCCCGTATTTCCTTAATCCGTGCACCACTGTTTCTCTTTCACCTTCATCCGGATGTTTAACTCGACGGCGATTCACTACAGGACAGTCAAATACCATATTAATTTTCAAACGAGATATTTCATTTTTCACACGTTGACTCACATTACCCATGTCTATGTCTGGGAAAACGTTGTTACTACTCCGCGATGTTTCACCACCGTCATCATTATGGCTTTTAGTAGATGTAACCAACTTCCGTTTTCGACGTTGAATGCTTCCGTCCGATTCGGTGTCCAACACGTACTTACGTTTAATGCCTTTCTTATTTTCGTTAGAATTTTCTTTAATATCAGTATCATCATCTGACTTCTGTTTACTATTTGTGTCAAGTTTTCCCTGACTAGTCTTCACTCTCAATGTGGTTTGTACACTTGTTGTACTTGAATCTTTTTGAACCTCAACAGTTTCGTCATCTTTCAACGACGACGTCAATTTTGTCATGCTATTACGATGTCGTCGTTTAATACCGTCCAACATCGACGGAGATGATTGTTGTTCGTACATTTTATCTTCGGGAAATTCATCCCGCGATTCAAAATCTAACTTTTTCGCAACAGATCCTATTGTCTCTGCAGCATCTGCTTCCTCGTCTGCTTTTGATGTAGTATTTTTCCCACTGAAAGATGCTTGTGGAGACAAATTTGTTTGTTTTGACGCGTCCTGCCCTTCATTAGACTCGTCTTTCTTAGATATTTTCGTTGAACTTTCGTTTTGCTTAGTATTAACAGTATTTTCTCCAGTATTTCCATCCAATTCATTACTATGGATATCATCAACTACGGATATCTTGTCTGTCGCGTTAAAAACTTCTGTTCGTTTAATCGTAACCTTGTTTTCCTTGTTGGCATCATTATCAATAGATTTCTGCATTGTAGAGTCGCTCTTCTTATTGCTGACTTTATCAATCTCGTTAATATGTTTGATAATATTAATATCAAACCATTGTTGCAGGTTTTGAGTGTTTTGCGAGGACGATTGAGAAAGATCATTATATAATGCCGGTATGTCTTCTCTTTTCCTTTTCAAATTTTCTTTCTGATGCTCAGTCAAACGATTAACATCAAATTTCAGATCTGTTTTTATGTACACATAATCCTGTAACAAATTTGAAAATGTAGAAAACATCAGCCAGATAAATATAAAAATATATAAAACATAAAATAATGAACATTATTTACTTGTGAATCAGGTTCAGGTAGTGTAAGCGTATTTTTATCGTTTTTCTCAGACGATTTACTAGATACTGATTTTGTAGTAGTTGACTTTCTATTCAAGAAACTTACTAACGCCGTAACGCTAGGCTTTTTTATTTCATCTAAAATGCACTTAGCGGTACTATTCAAGTTGTCTCTAATCTCAAAAATAGATTGTGTCAAAGATCTTATTTCTGGATTAGCATGATTCATGGCTAGTGTAATTGCTTCTTTGTACAACGATAAGAGTTCGTGATCCAATTGTTTATTAAGTCCTTTAAAAATACTGATTATGCATTCCCATGTGTTTGCAACCTGCAAGCAAAATTGCCATAAAAAAAACATGAAAAGCTAACATAAAAATCGAATGCTCTATAAAGAATATTGATATCATACTTCTTTAAAAAGCGCCTTTGTTTGCGACGAAAGCATAAGTTTGACGACTGATTTACAGTTACGCAAATATGACACTACTCTTTGCAGATTATGTCCATATGTGGTGATGAGGATAGCTGACAATTTTTTCAGAGCTATTTCAGTGTTAAGATTTTGTACGTCATTAAAAGAAATTATTATTACGTCTATTATTAGTTGCAGAATGGATGGAATTTCATCTTGAGCTGAAACATGAATTATGCAAGATATGTATTACCATATTCTGGGCATTAATATATATTTTTACATAAAATTATAACAATTAATTCTACATACTCAACAAAGACTCATAATCAAGGGTGCTCAATAAGGCGTCTAAGCAGTTTACAATAAAGGTGCAGCAACTTCTATTTGTACTTAAACAATTCCGCATCATGCTTGCAGTATCCATTAAGATTTCATTTGATTTCGTTGTAGTCATCACCGAATGTAATTCGACTTCTTTATATACAGTTTCCCACACTATTGCTTGACTTTTTATCTGTAAAATTATTAATATATAAAAAAACTGTTGCAGAGCGAGTAAATATATAGTCGTAAAAGAAAATATTTGAAAAATTATACAAACCAGCTCAAGATCTTCTATATGTGTGCAAAATGGAAATGACAAAATTAATACCATAACTTTAAAGTTATCGTTTCCACTGATTTCAGTGTTTCTTATGTATTTTGTCAATATTTCCGCTATCATAGACCATATCTCTATGTAAGCTAATTCATTGCTATCACTGTAAAACATTATTTATTAATCAATTGAATTGTGCATTATTATTAAAATTTGTTGAACTTACTTATTTTTACGTGCATTATACACTGATTTCAGATTTTCCATTATTGTTTCCAGAAATCCAAGCACACCTGAGGAATATGTGAATTCTGGACTAACACATCGCTCCAGAAGGCACTTAATTGTATTACTGTCATAATCCCTATAATATGAAGATATAATAAATGCTCACATAATGCAGAAAGCAACACATAAACGTATCGGCAATTAGTTTAAAATACACGTACAAGATGTACTTCAGCATTTCGTCGAGTATTGGAGACGTTAAAAGTTTTAATACCATTTCTGGCAATGAATTGTCATGAAATTCAGTTTTCTCAATAGCGGAATTAACATCTGGCAAAATTACTTTAAATATCATATCCCTCACCATGAGCTTATCTATATGGTTTGCCAATTCAGTTACAACTAGTATCACATCCCTATACAGATGGTCCTATAAAATTCAAAGCAATTGTCAAAATTCCTTTGGTATATACATTTATTTTATATTACAAAAACAAGAAAGTTAAGTACGTATTAATAACCTTTGTTTCGAGTTTAACGTTCCGTATGTATATCATCAAGCTTGTCCATAATGTTTTACCAAGCTGAAAACGATTTTTCATTTCTTTATCTGTAAGTTGACCAAGAATGAGCAGGGCCTCTGCTATACTATGAATAATGTTTTTGGAACATTCTTGAAACACCTCATAAGATATAGCATGAGGAAGTCTTTCTTCTAACATTGGAGGACAAACTACAAAGAGATCTTCCTTTGTGACAAGTAATTGACACAAGGCATCCACAGCAATCACTTTTGTCTTGAAAAATCTTTTGCCTGGAGAGGCAACAACGTCAAATTTTGAAGAAAGCAATGGCGTGTCCCCAAGTGGTCCAAAACAATAGTTCAAAAATTGCGTGATAACGGGAGTAACAAATTTCACGATATCTTTATACAACTTAATAATTAAGTGCCACCAAACTTCTAGCTTCGTCAATGCAATTAATTCAGTTTTACTGTTCTTTGCGTTTAATGGAATACAGAGTAATTTTATTCTCCTAGCAGTAGCAAGTTCTTGATGATCTAAAGCAAAATTGTCAATCAACAATTTCCACGAAAGGAAAGCTTGTCTGCAACACAATAAAAAAAAAAATCGATTAGTTAATCGTAGAAAATCGAAATTAGGATTTAATTGCAGAGCTGCGAGTTTCACCTGCGTATAATAGGATCGACAGACTTGAAGGCTTTCTCCTCAACACTCAGCAAATTATTTATAAGACTAGCACCGCGATGAAGATCTGTGCCGAGGAACTGGATAGTAATATTCCATTGTGTAGTCCAATCCAGCTCGCATGCCGCTACCAATAGTAACATGCGCTTATAATACGTAGATTGTAAATTGGTTTTATATTGTGCCCATACGTCAGGATAGTCTTTACGAATATGAGCTGCTAAATTAGTCGTAATAGCTTGTTGCATAAGTTTCAAAGCAGGACCACGCTGGCGCTTGTGTCCCATATAGGCCAACGTTATGATCTTATCCATCAGTAACTCATTATACTAAAAAAAAAACAATGATTCCCAGTCCTGAGCGTAACTTCAAAAAATGGTTTATGACACAATTGTGCATGTTTATACCTTTTGAACACTTTGATCAAACGTTTTGGAAGCCAGTCTGTACAATCTTCTCAAAAGAGCAAGCGCATGACTGTTTATATCCTCCTCTAGCTTTTCTTCCTCTGACAAAGGTTGCTGTTCAATCTTCGTCAACATTTGCAAATTATCCACACACGCCGTTGGCGTTAACCATTCCATTAAACTAGGCTGCACGTTAACCAAGCAGTGCTTGAAGAAATTTAGAACCTGTCCGTCATTGGCAGCTGCAGAGATAGCATGGTCATCCAGTACCTCCAACAGTTTAAATATCTTTAATCTAAAATCAAGGAAGAGGATAGTACCTTGTTACGCATACAGAGCACACAAATTTTTTTTACGACAAATTTAACCGGACAAACCTCGTCTTCTTGTCTGTCACTATCATCGATTCAAAAAGATGTAAGGGATGTAATTGGAATTCTCGCACAATGGCATTGAACGCTCCTACTGCTTCATTTTGCAACGTTCCCTCGTGCTTCCAGAACGCTTCTATCACCAGCCTACATAAATCCTTGTATCGTTCTTCGTTAATGGTACCGCTCGTCTCTAACTTCTTAGCTTGACTACAAGGCAAACGTTGGAGTCTTTATTGTAAAATGTTAGGGAAAATCTTTCACCACACATACATGCAAATGCATTCAATGGTCTTTATTCAACAGTACAGATGTATACATATCGAACAATGTATATTAGTATTTCTAAAAAATGCAACATCTTATTCGTGATTCTATCACTAAATGTCTTTCTATCAATGCAGATTAACTTTAATCTTGGTTTATGTCTTTCTAATTCTAAGAATCATAGAAAAAGATATTATAGATAACAATTAAGATTGATTAAAGTTAATTTACATTGATAAAATGAACACAAATCGGGTAAACTTTCCAAGTAAATTTTTGACAACGCCAGTGGTGTTAAAAGCCTAAATTTTACCATTTTAAGTTTATGTTTATTCTACAATCATTCTATGTAATTCAAGCTGAGACAATCAAGCTCACAACTCGAGAAGGAAATTAATAGATCCCCTCAGTATTTTTCTCAGTATCCTCTCAATTTTTCTCTCCTTTCTCAAATCCCCAAGCATCACGAGACTAAACAAGACGCAAAAGGAACAACGTAGCAAAGGACCTAATACCTAATGTCCACAATTAATCTCTACAATTAACAGACGTCGAGCGTCTGTCGCGTCACGAGGGACCGCTCCTGGTCAATCCCGATCCTGATCAATCCTGATCGCAGCAGCCCCACGTCGCTCGAGGGGAAGGGTCCCCGCGATTACTTTACCTGGCGATATAGGTTAAAGCCTCGCGCTTCTCCTTGACATTGCCGTTCAACGCCTTGAGCATCTTCTGGAAGGTCGCGCTCGTGATCGCGGCCATCTCGTCGCGTCTACCTCCCGTCCGCTGCTCTAGTGCTCTCCTTTCCTGTCTTCCGCGCGACAGCCGCCGATTACCGATCACCGTTCATCTCACGCCGCGCGCGCAAACCGGCGGCGGCTCACCACAAGCAACCACAAGACGTTCCCGTTCGATAGTTCGATCCTCGACACCTGGACACCTAGAGAGTCTTCGTGCCCGGGCCGAAGGGCGAATATGCCGAATACTTATGTCCGACACACCGGAGCTTACTACGCTCTCCCACACGAGGAGAAGAGGGGGAGGGGAGGGAGAGAGGGCAGAGAGAGAGAGAGAGAGAGAACGATTTTCTCCCGCGTCGCAAATTGCGCAAAAACGATTCACGCGGTCCGAAACACGGACATGCCTGCCCGTGCGCGCACGACGATTTCCGTCCCGGACACAATAATCCAGACTGTTCATGGGCGGGGCAAGGGGGAAAGGGGTACCGGTCGTGTTACTCCGACTCGGGCTATCCTCGTCCGCGCAGCGTCCGTCGGTCCGTCGCAACCGACAAACAAAAGTGGCGAACCGCGTTTGTTTTGCCCGCACGCCGCTTCGCACGCCAACCAGAGTTCACAAGCGTTCGCGCCTTTCGTCTCTCCCCTTCTCCGTCGGCCAGCGTTTTCATTTTAGCGGGAAGCGACCGGAAGAAGAGAGGGAGACGGAAGGAAAAAGAAAGAGAGAGAGAAGGAGAATCGCTAGACGGCGTCATTCACGATGTTTGACAATTTCAGTGGTTATAATTGGTCGTAATTGGACGTGATTACACGGGAAGAACCAACTGTCGATTTATCGACTCCCCCGCGTTCTCGTCGCGAAACGTCATTGCGTGCACACGTAGATGCAAATTGCAACGTGTATGACGCATAAAGCAACGTAGAAGGCGACTGTCAAAGTCAAAGCATCTCTGCCACGTGTAAACATATTTCACCTAAAATTATTCAAATTAATGTACAATTGTACTTTCAAACCAAGTCAGAAACTTTTACCTCGCCAGCCGTGACGATTATAAGACGATTATAATTTAATAAAGACGGCCAGTTAAGTCGAATAAAAAATCTTTATTGTTAATTGTATTTTACTTCCTGTAGGTGATATATCCAGACACCTGAATAACATATTCCTCTAAAAAGAAAGGAAAACGCTAGCGGAAATTTTTATTTCCATAATTACGTCGTCTAGAGGTAAGTAAAAATAAAGGTGACATCGTGTGCTTCAAAAAAAAAAAGATTTTATCACAAAGAATGCTTTGTACGTCCAATCGACTCGTATGCGCGTGCGGGAAAGGAAAAGCCTATATTGATTGTACATAGAGCTAGCATATTAAATGTTAATTTGTTCCGCTTATTGATTACAGGAGAACAGGTGGACTTTCTCAAATAGATACTCGGAAAATGTGTGACCTGAGAAACTGAGAAATACTTATAGAAAAGATTACACGCGTGTTTACTCCTGCTTTTATTTATATTTTCGTACGTGGCATATATCGTTTTCAAGCCTTTGGCTAGACACGTTTTACTTATAGACCGTCTACTGACAGGAACGTTATTTTGTTCAAACTCATTGCGGTCATTGCGGAGAGGTGTCGGCCACGAATTTCAACTTCATCGCGATGGCGCAGAGATTACAAGTAGATAGATCCTCGATCGAGAGAATCCTGCCGAGATTACAGATGTATCCAAATACGTGTCCGCTACATTATAAAATAAAGAAAGCAAGTTAAACAAGTCGAATAGAAAGCATGTCTCTATATTTCAGACGCGAGATGACTGAATCCTAGGACTCACTTCTAGTCGCCGAGATTCCATCCTTTAAAGGACTCCTTTGATTGCCTTTGAATCGCTCGCAATAGATGAATAGAGTTACGAGTCCCCCGGATGCGATTCCTCTCCTTTCCAGCCTCTCGATTTTGCGTCCAGCTCCGAAAGACGCGCGCATGTTGCGCAGAAGGTATTGCCCTTTAATCTACCCTTTTAACATATATATATATATATATATACATACGTGTATATACACAAGCATAATGGATTTCTGTCCCGGCAGAACGCTAGGACGCAATTGCGCGTTTTGAAGGCGCGTAATAGCCGAGGGAGAGAGAGGAAGAGAGACGAGGGGTCAGACACGTGGTATGCATACATCGACGCAGAGCAGTCGGATCTTCCTTATTCATCTCGCTCTTCCTTCGGTAAGCACACAGTCTGTTTTGTCTGTCGCCTCCTCCCTCCGCATTCCTTTATAGTCATTCCTCCCCTTATCCCTTTCATGTGTTCGTAGCCGGCGTAGCCACAGCGTCCACAGCTCCTCGAGTGACGTCGCAATCATCTCTCCTTTCCTTTTTATCATAGTAATCGTGATTCCCCGAGGGTCATATAACCGCTTACTCAAGAAAGATGCAGAAAAGACGCCGAGGGAGGAATGGATTTAGAAGTAGAGATCGAAAACCCAGAAAAGTCTGCAAAACTTCGGAATTTTTGCGTATTTTAAAGACAAATCAAACAAATCGTATCAGTCGATATTGGTATTTGTGCATAAAATCAGTATATTGATAAATACTCAATAATTTTACCTAAACAGTTCTTGCTTCAAAAATGCGTATTAAGTATTTGTTTGAAGTAACAGACAAAGAGAGTGAGGTATAAGTGCAAAAAGTGTGTGTGAGATTCGTGAGCCATTATGTCGAGTTTTTAGCTGACACTTTCTGAATTTAAATTGAAGTGGTGTGTCTAGCTTTTGGAAAAGAAGAGAAATATCAAAGAGATCTAAGTAAAGTGTAAAAAATGTAACCGAAGCAAGTGAATCCTTGTTACGTCTCTTGTTTACCTTTTGTAAATTGCTCCAGTATGATTAAAGAACAGCGAGAAGATAAATATGTTTTCTTTCTGATCGACATTCGTGAAAACTAACCAAAGAAAAGTCGCACTTCGGATTACTTCGGATCTCTTGATTTTCTCGTCCTGCTGAAAGAAGAGCCCACGTGACGTGGAACGATAATGTTCAAAACAAGCTTATCGCAAATCATGCTTGCATAATTTATCTCATGTTTAAAGTTTAAACACCCTCGTGCGAGGTTATGAAAGGCCGCGTCTTATTTATATGTGTTACAGTGAGAGCATTATCTTGTTTTTTAACATTTTTATTGATGAAATTAGTGTACAATTGTATGAGTTTGTAATTGCAGTATATATACACTACTGTTGAGTGTATACAATTATTAAGTTTTATAAGTATTGATTTTATGCTTTTACTGTGACATATATATGTCTTATACATATAGATAGATAAAAATTATGTATATTACATTATGCATTTATTGTTACAGGTTTTCTGTGATTAAAGGCTTGTAAAGTCACACCGTGATAAATCTTGCCGTTCCACGGCTGGTCACACGTCGTTTAATTCACCACAGCGGGATGAGCGTGCGTACGCAAAAGCTACTTCTGTGTGCGCTCGTGCTTCTAGGCATTCTCTACCTCTGCACGAACCGACGTGCGAATGACAAGGATGTGTCCCTGAAGCGGCTTCTCGCCGCTGCGATAAGAGCGGCGGAGATTGGAGGATTGGAAGTGGTGGTGGTGCACGATCAGATTAAATTCAAAATAGAGAGCAAAGGCCAGACGAAGGAAGGTAACTATTGACATGTAATTCGATACGCAATTGTGTGTGATATGATATATTGCACAATAGTCTGTCAGGTTTTTATTTCTCGCATTAAATTTTTATGTACAATCTTCTATTTTCTTGAATCGACAGACTGTGGCATAAATGTGGAACGGTGATATAATATGGATTCTTCTTTTCTACCTTCTTTAAAGGTGTAAATGATCCAGTAACAGCGGCGGATTATAGATCTCACTGTGCCATGTATCGCTCTTTGACGGAAGCATTCCCAGGGATTACTGTGATATCTGAGGAAACGTCGCAAGATTGTGATAAAATTAGAGTAGAAGATATTAAGAATTCTGTCAAAAATCTCGAGGGTTACGATATAAGTGACGACGTTGTAAACGTTAATGATATTACGATCTGGATAGATCCTCTTGACGCCACCAAAGAATTCACAGGTAAAGGTGCATCTTTGCCATTATGATATCCCAGTACCTCTAACAAAATTACTTTTCAGGTTATTTATGGCAGGAACAGTTATTTTTAAAATGACCGATATTGTGCACTTTTATGTTCGAACATGTTCATATTACAATCAAAATAAGTTGGCCACAAATTTTATAAGAGATACCCAAAGATTAGATTATAAGCAATGAGTATGAGGAAAATGTATTACCTGCAATTGCAATTTGGAAACAAATTAATATTTTCATGATCGTTTATGGCTAGATATTGCAGAAGCACCGACTGTTTTCAGGATCAAACAAAAATTGGTTTTTTGGACATAATATGATACAGATAATCACGTAAATTCTGTAATAATGTAACATATTATGAACAATCTCAGAATAATAAGATGTTGTGGGTAAAGCTTAGTCCCTAAATAAATAATTTAACATGTAGGCGCAGTAATTGGACATTAAAACATTGGAAAACTATTAAGACATCGAGTCTTTATACCAGATTCACCAAGTTCCTTTTTTTTTTTAAATATTAAGTTAATACAAAGCTTTTTACTGTCTTTTGAATAAATTAGAAGGATACTTGGTGGTTTTGGGACATTCTATATTTTTTAGCTTGATGTAGTTTCTTATGAACCAAGTTTGACAGCTTTTGCTCAATGCCCTATCATATTTTTAGAGAATTTACTGCAATATGTATCTACTATGGTATGCATCGCCGTCAAAGGACAACCAGTTATTGGTGTTATATATAAACCGTTTGAGACAAAACAGAATTCCAGTTTATTCTGGACGTGGAGCAATCATGGTGTATCAAGAAACTTGAAAAATTTACCCAAGGTAATTGTGTGAAATCGAGGTAATTTGACAAAGGAAGTTACAATAAACTTTATAACACATTTAACTAATCTTTGTTGAACAGGTAAAGGACAATAAAACACCTATCTTGATTGTATCTCTCTCACATGCTGGCCAAGTAAAAAACTCATCTAAAGCTGCCTTTGGTGACAATGTTAAAATTATTTCTGCTGCTGGTGCAGGTAAAAAAATTTTTTTTAATAGCGCAAGTTCATTTCTGTAATTCGCTATTAAAGACTCGTGAATGGGAGCGAAGACAGATAATTTTATACGCGTATTTTTCTGAGTGTTTTAAGACTCATTGTTTTTTATTTTTCGTTGCTCAGCCCCGCACTCTTTTCATGCCTTCAATTCTTGTTATTAGGAATTTTATATAGAATATACAAATATAAGAGACGTCTTGTTTTAGGATACAAATTTTTGGAAGTAGCTGCTGGTAATGCAACAGCGTACGTTCATACGACTGCTATCAAGAAATGGGATATATGTGCTGGCACTGCAATTCTTAGGTATTGCTATTCAGCTTAATTAAACATTTGGCTTTATACTACATAGTATATTTACTTGTCATTAATTTATTTTTTGTTTTATCTTGTAGTGCTTTAGGAGGAACAGTGACACAGTTATACGATCAACAACCAATTTATTTCGGATCTAATGATGACAAAGTACTTACAAAGGGTCTTTTAGCGACCATGAGCGATCACGCGTGGTATTCCGAAAAATTCTTGCATGACTTTCCATCCGATTCACATTAATCAAGAATACAATATATCAGGAGAGAGAATGAAGGTTGTATATATCAAGTCCTGCTTATAAGATTCGTGTTCTAAGTAATTTATATCAATATGTGCTCGCGTACGTAAGATCACATACCTTCCAATATCTGTCTTATCGTTAAGTATTTATTATAAAAGATAAATTTGTCATAAACTGTGTAAAAAAAGTAGACTTTTATATAATAAATGGAATAACGAATTTTATTACAAAAAATTATTTTATACACCTTTGACACAAATAATTATGATTCAAAGACAAAAATTTTACACAAATTATTTAATACAAATTTAATACAAAAATGTCAAGACTAGTTTGCCATCATAATTTTTTATAAACAGTCTATTCAAGTCAAGTTTTTTTTTAAATTATGTAACATCTATTTAGCATTCCTCTCTGACTTTATTTTATATAAAAATGATGCATAGATTTATTTGACTAATTTCACTTTATTATCTGAAATACATATTGCAGATGATTCTTTTAACTTTTCTACTGTTTTGTTAAACTTCGCAATAGCTTTTTCATATTCAGTCAATTTGAAGGTATCATCATTCAAGTTAAAAACGTAATATATACATTTTTTCATAACTTTATCTCGTAGTTTTCTTAAAGGCATTTCACCCTTGGTTTGTAAAATGTCTAAGATGGTCTCTTTCCAGCGGAACCTAGAGACATCACTTCCATCGTTTGTTTCCGAAACAGATCGTTTTCTAATCTTCACAACAGTTTGATCGGTCTCTGATTGAATGTTGATCGGTTCCAACTGGCGTTTTTTGGATTTATTTCGCCTTTCGTATAGCCCATTAGTCATCTCGCGTGCTTCGTCACCTCCGTTTTGATGACTCGCAGAATGATTCTCTTTGCTTATATTTTCATTGTTTTGATTCTCAGCGATATTTTGATTGTCAAACGAGTTACTAGAATCCATTTTTCGGGTGCACGTCATTTCGTCCGCTGAAAACCAAATATATCACTTATATGCATTCTATTAAATTTTTTTATTACGTACAATACTCATTCCTATGAAATTTATATTACAAGCTCTTCCAATGTCAATAAACTAAAACAGATCTGTTGTAAGAAAAAATACTCACCTTCGCTCTGCTCCTGATTTTGTACAGTATCTTTCTCTGGAGTCTTAGCGGACACTTGTTGACTTTGCTTGTGCGCATTTTCCATTTTGTCCCAAACACTCTCCACAACAGTCGCGTTCGCACGATTGCCTATCGCATTGCGGACGAAGTTAAGAAACTTGGCCTTCTTCCTTGGTACATTGTCGTAGTTCGATAAAATGTTCAGAAAGCTCCGTTCCGCATTGGATAGATTCACTGTCCCGTTCAGCAAATTATTAACAACGTTAATCCATTCCTGCTGCTTGCGCTCGCCCTTATTTGCACCAGGCTTTGGGACATAATCCTTCGCGCCGTACCTCTCGGCTTCGGTTATGCATTTCGTGTGCGCGACGTACTCGTCATCTCTTTTGGAGCAGTTAAAAATATTAAAATTATTAAGTATTGATTGACGTTCCATCAAACTTACTGGCTTAATTTACACCAATCTTTTGATATGGGTATCAAATAGTACATTTGAGCTGCTCAGCCAATAATCAAATTAATTTATTAGGTATTTACTTTTTAAAACGCGTATCAAACGATCGGTATAAACTAGGCCATTTAAATCCTTAGCGTCCTCGCTAATTTTTTTGAAACCAACATATTTGAAAATCCAATTTTTCGTACTTCTACAATTTCATCGATTCCTCCAATTCCGTAAAACATGTGTTTCAGAAAAATCTGCCCCTACGCTGAAGAAATATCTATTTGCCACTTGAATTCTTACCGAAAATCCTTGTGGCAGTCCACGCAGGTTAAGAAGGGCGCGTTCCGGCACACTTGATAATGTACAGCCACTTTGGGCTTTTTCACCGAGTCGCCGCAATGGTTGCAAGTAAAGACGACCATATCGCGATTATTTGTACAATCGGATCGCGGTACTGATCGAAATAATACTCAAATGTGACGAGTATACTGTCAAGTACCGTTAACTTAACCTATAAAAGCAACGCGCAAGCCGAAGACTAGTAGCGAGCACGAGGACTACGAGGAGCAGTGAGCAGTATGGCCACGCGTTAGCTATCCAATGGGCGCGTTCAGCAGACCGCCGCTCAGTAGCAGTCGAACGTGATTGGCTCTTACTTTTAGAACCAACCAATCAACGCAGAGTGTTGATAAGACGAACTCAACAGTTGTTGACAGTTGTGTCCGCTGAACACGGCCAAAATGGCTGCGGTCAGCCGAACCTCTGCTTAGCGAAGCGAAAGGTAGCAAACGGGGTAGCAATTAAGTGTAATTGGTTGGATCCATAGGTAAGAACCAATCACATTCAGTTGCTACTTGCTACCTTTCGCTTCGCTAAGCAGAGGTTCGGCTGGACACGGCCAATGAGTCCCTATAATATATAGGGTCTCTAGCATGGTCTGCTTCGCACCACCATCTTGAAATGCAATGTCATCGGCGCGTCTCGTACCTCGTTCGTAAGCGCTCGTAAGTAAAAGGTGGCGGAGAGTCGGTCACAAGAGGGTCTCGTGCAACGGCAATTTTCCTTTTCTATCGGCAAACATGTCGAGTGGTGCGCTTTTCGGCAATAACGCTTCGCGCGGCGCCTCGAAAAACCTCGTGGAGTTCAAGGCTGGCAAAATGACCGTGAAAGGCAAGATGGTTTATCCGGACACGCGAAAGGGCCAACTCTACGTCTACCAGTCCGACGACTCGTTAATGCACTTCTGTTGGAAGGACCGGACGAGCGGAGTCGTGGAAGACGTATGATCATTATTCTTGCTCTTAATGAATCCCTTGGAAAACCTTTTTTCGCAAACGGAAAAGCGTACGTTTTATTTGTTCGCGCCGGGAAACTCCGTTGCTACACATTTAATTTTCAGTTTTTCGTATTAAGTATACCGGGTGTGCGTATTTCTATAATCGAGCATGCTTTCTCAGGATTTAATTATCTTCCCTGACGATTGCGAATTCAAGCACGTTCCCCAGTGCAAGACCGGCAGAGTGTATCTTCTGAGATTCAAGTCGTCGAATAAGAAATTCTTCTTTTGGCTACAGGTAAAGAAAACGCAATTTTGCAATATCACAGAATTATGGTAGTTAGATTGGAATAGATTGATTTATATCTGTTTTCTTTACATCGTTTAACAAGCTTTTGACGTTATACGTTGCGCTGGACATTTGCCGACAGCTGTTTCTGTATTAAGCACACATATTTTTGTTATATAGGATCTCAAAACTGATAAAGATGAGGAGCACTGCAGAAAAATTAACGATGTACTTAATAATCCACCGACCCCGGGATCCCAGAGGAGTGGCAGTACCAACGCCGAAGGGGATCTGCAGAATTTATTAAACAACATGTCGCAGCAACAGCTCATACAGTTGTTCGGCGGCGTTGGCCAGATCGGTGGCCTGGGTAGTTTATTAGGTACAATGAATAGACCGCACGGTGTTCAGAGTACAAGGGCTTCCACTACGACTTCATCCACTCCAGCCACTACAAACGTGACTAGACCACCCCATTCGTTGACTCCTGGACCTAATGCGGACTCGAAATCTTCGAGTAAGTAAATCGTTTGTCCAAATAAAACGGGGTCTATTCTAATGACGTATTTACCTAGGTAATAATAAATCGTCCACGAGAACAACAGCTCCGTCCACGCCGGCTGCGTCAGTGGCAGCTCCAAGTAATAGAATACAACTTAGCGATTTGCAGAATTTTCTATCGGAAATTCCGACGCCACCTCGGACGGAGCCAACTGTGCAGGTAATATCACATTGCTTTTTCATATCTATTAATGAGTTAATCTGAACGTTGGATTGGATTAAAACTTCGACTGAAGGATAATCGAATTTTCTAACAAATGACTGATATACAAATATAATGCAATGTATTATTTTTTTAAATTACGCAATAATTGATTTAGAAGAGTTTTGAATCAGTATGAAATAAATGATGGTAGGTAATAGATGTTAATATATTTTGTGAGTAGAAGATGCCTCTGTCATAAGTTTTTAATGTTACATGAGTATACATTTGTATACAGAGTATCCTAAAAGTCCCAAGACTGCCTGATGTCCTTTCTATCATAGATTTTTTTTTTTTTTTTACGATCAGTTTACACTCAATGAACATATCAAAGTATCTATAATTTTGGCATACTAAAATAAACAGTTGCAGCTTTCAATAGAATTTCAATAGAATTTCAAGAGCAAAAATAAAAAATAAAATTATCTTTATTAATTTATTAACGTTAAATAGACTTTACTGGTTTGAATATGGATTTGTAACTTAATTACTAAAATATTTAAAACTAGAAAAGCGATGACATCTTTAATAAGGAAAAAAATGTCTTCAAATTTACAATTAGAGCGATGATATTTTCAATGATGCTGGGACACTCTGTAAATGGTCTTTAAAAATATCGTAGTAACGATGAAACAACATCTATTGAAATTGCATTATAAAACATTTATCGAACGTTAACAACTTTGCTATAAACATGTGCATGTCATATATAAATTTAATTAATAATAATGATATTATTTTACTGTATAAAATCAATCTTTAGGAGTCAGCTTATGTACAAATAATTTTTTTTTTTTTTTCAAACACGAGAAGATAAGATTAAATATCTTATCCTGTGATGGATTGTGATTGCAAGACCACACCTTGAATATTTACGTCATAAAAGAGATAAATATTATTAAATATAGTAATAAGTATGGTTTATGACATTGATTATATATAAATGTTGTTATGTATTATTTTTTTATGAAATGAGATAAAAAGATATCGAAATTAATCTTAAAATTATTGTCGTACAAAAGCGTGAGACCAGAAGAATAGAAGGACATTTTCAGTTTGCACGTACGAAAATATATAATATTGTGAAAACACAATAAGTAAATGATGAAACCATATATGCAACCAGAAGCAAACAGAAGGATCTGTTGAAGTTTTTAATGTGCAAACAAAGTAATGTAGAAAATTCAAGGAACAGTTTACTAGAACAGATTATCTATCATATATTACTAATTATATATTTTTTACAGCTGCTATCGCTATCAGGGATCTAAAGTGCCATTCTTGATAACAGAAGCTGCAGAATAACTTTCAAGCTCATTCAGTGTTTTACAAGTGTTTTTAAACGGTCTCTCTTTTGAGTGAGCGAATTTTTTAGCTTCATTATTCGCGAATAATTAATAACAGTATCGTATAATACATTGCAATGCATAGATAATTAACATTGAAAATATTATTACATGTACACTTAAATTAACAAAATTATTGCTAAAGAAATTTGTGTGGCATGTGGCGGGATAACAGACTTTATAGATATTTAATTAATGTACTTAAATTGAATCGGAATTTTAATGTGTTATAGCTATGTGTTTATGTGCTTGTAGATGATAATATCATTATAGAAGTCACGTGATCAATAGGTTTTAGCTAATGTGTTTTACATTGTTGTGTTTGCCTTTCTTTCCCTCTGAAACTCAGTAAGGTTTTAATAATCTATAAGTGAACTACGTTATCACTCTCAACGTTACCTAGTCCAACGCAGTTTTATGTAGTAATATTTCTTGAAAAGAACATAAACACATGTGTTCTATTAAACACATTATATGTGTCCTATAATACTGTGAAATTATTTATTAATACACGTTTATTGTTAAGTTATTGGATAGAAAGTACTTTGTTAAGGAGAAGTATTGGAAGGAAAACAAGTACGCGCAGCCCCGATCATTTAAAAAATTCAATGATGTCGATCTGATTGCCAAACTAGTTATTAATCCGCAATATATCGTGACCGAGCAAGACTAGAAAATCGAAAAGAGAGAGAGAGACAGAGGCATGGTTTTCTCACTGTTAAGTACTATCCTTTGTCTGAACTTTTCCTGGCTGTCGGAGACTCTGGCTCTGCTGAGCAGTTGGGGAAGTTTCTCCGGGTGTATCTGTTGTTTTCGTTCAGCTACAGCGCAGCTTATTGTCCGGCAGAGGGGCGTAGCGACAGAGCTGACCAACGCTATACCAGCGGCGATCTCTACGACGGAGAGCCTGGAGAGTGTCATGAACGTGCACTTGCCGGCCGGGGACAACCTGTCTACCACGCTATCGTCTCCCCAGTTCTCCCAGGCGCTATCAATGTTCTGGTCTGCTTTGCAGTCGGGCCAGGCGGGCCCTGTCATCCGTCAATTCGGCTTGGGACCGGACGCCGTCAATGCCGCGGCCAGTGGAAACATCGAAGAATTCGTCAGCGCACTGGAGTCGGAAGCGAAGAACGGCCAGGGACAGCAAGCGCAACAGGGACAAGACGACAAGAATAAGAAGCAATCACCACCGGCCGCTAGTCCCGATAAGAAGGACGATGACGACGAAGGCATGGCTTTAGATTAAGGATAGGATTTGTACGCGTCTCTCGTGCGTCAGACGTTTCGCTTTTCTATTCAGAAACCATGCGTTGCATGTTATGTTACGATGAATCTATATACGAAATAAAAAAAAATCTCAATGGACGCATTTTTCGAAATAATTTAGATATATACATAATATAATTTCGATAACATACTTTTTGGACGTATATGTAAACGTTTTTTCCAAGCACTCGAGAATCTGGTACTTTTACTTTTATTCATGAGAGATTAGCAAACACATCGATCAAATAGAAACAGGAGATTCATCACGCGCTATTAAAATTACACATATGTACGAAAAATTAATATACTGGACATTTTGTATACAGCATACGTTTATTGGATTTAGTAAACTGCG